GTGTCCACGCGGCTGACCCTGTGCCAGGTGTGCGCGGCGGCGAGCCCACATTCCTCCTGAGCCGCTCCGCCCCCGCGTACCCCAGATTTGGGGGCGCTGATGGTAAAAACCAAAGAGAGCGCCGTGGAGGCCCCGAGCAGCTCTCCGCCACCAGCCTTCCGCAAAAGCACCTCGGGCCGGGGCGCAGACGTGGCTTCCAGTCCCCTCCACCGCCCTCCCCCGGAGGGGGCATTTCAGGACTTCGCTGCATCCTGCCGTTAGAGACGCAGAGCACGTCAGCGCCCAGGTTAATTCCTTCCACACTCAGGAGCCCAGGGCAGCCCCGCCCCGCCGCTTCTCCTGCCTTCGTCCCTGGCCGCATCCCTGTCGCTCCCCGGTGCCCAGGGACAGGGGCCTGGGGAGAGGCCCAGGCCAGAGCCGGAGCCCGTCGGGGACCTGGGCAGGACTGTGGCGCGGGCCCCAGGCGCATGCTCGAGGCCCCCTTTTCACTCAGGGCTTTGTGTCTGCAGATGGCCCAGCCGCGTATCCCATCCCGGTGCAGAACATCAAGCCCCTGCTCACCGTCAGCTTCACCTCGGGAGACATCAGCTTGATGAACAACTACGACGACCTGTCTCCCACCGTCATCCGCTCAGGGCTGAAAGGTACAGCTGCGGCCGCCGTGCGCCTCAGCACGGGTTGCGGCCTCTGCTGGCCTGACCGGGCTTATCTCAGGAGCCCCGTGGCCGCCCCCGCCCCCGCCCCCGCCCGCTGCAGCGGGACCTGTGCTCTGTGGCGCCCGGGCTGCCCCGTCACTGGTCTGGGCGGCACAGACGGGCCCTGACAGCCTGCGTGTCTCCGGCCCACCGAGGGGCTGATGGGCAGTTAGGGCGCCGCCGGCCGGAGGCCCCCCGGCTGCACCCAGGCCCGAAGTGAAGGTCGGCGGCTGGCGGGACGCCTTCCTGAGGCGTGGCTGTCACCACAGGGGCGGTGGGCACGCGCCTCTGCGGGGTCTGACCGTGGGGTCCTACCCAAGGGGCAGGGGAGCTTTCGGAAGAGAGCTCTGTCTCTCAGTGGTGGGGACCCCGGGCCGGCGTCGGCCCTCCTGTCGCGGGGACCCCGCTCTGAGTTAGTGGGGCCGGGCCCGTGGCTCAGCGCCAGCTGTCCTGCAGACCAGGGGCCGTGTCTGGTGCCGCTGTGTCCTCCCTGGACGGCTCGGGGGTCCCGAGGATCGGGGGGCCGGCTCCTCGTGCTTTAGGGTGGTTGCCGGGGATGCGCCCCCGCCTGAGTTCTGTGTTGAGACTGTAGGAGGGCCCCGTACTGCCTGGGGTGGGGGAGGTCCGCTGGCCCCGAGGGCGCGTGCCGGGAGAGCCGCCTGCTCGCAGCACGTGTCTGCACCTGAGCGCGCCCCGTGGTGAAGCTGGACTGAACTCGTGGGCTTTTCTCTGAGTTCTTTCCTGAACTGTCTTCCATGGGACTAAGCCGAGAGACGGTCGCTGTCCACTCTGTGCGGGGCAGCGTCGCGGCTAGGCAGAAGGGCCTCTCCGTGGCCGGGGAGGAAGCCGGGACAGTGACGCGTGGAGGAGACAGGCCTCGCGGCCTGCGGCCGTCTCCTGCGCGGTCCTCTCAGCTGCCAGCCCGACAGTCTCCCGTGGCCACTCCTGTGCCCCGGGGGCCGGCGGCGGGGCCGGGTGTCCTCAGTCTCGCCCTGGTTCCGCGCTGGCCAGGACCCTCTCCTTGCCCCCGGGCCACGGCAGAGCAACACTGAGCAAGCGGTGTTCTCTGACGGTGTTTGATGTCCCCTTCGCCCCGCTGAATCTGTGACCTGATCTGGGGGTCCCGCCCCGGCTGGCGCCGGCCAGTCCGGGCTTCTCTTCCTCGCCCACCCCTGCGCTCTTCTCACCCCAGGACCGGCGAGGCGGGCCTCCACGGGGCCCCCCGTGCGCGTGGCTGCGCCAGGCACGTCGCCCCCAGATCCAGAGGGGGCACTTCCCTGCGGGCTCACGCGCCCTCTGGAGAGCGGCCTGCGCTGGGGGTGCAGCCGGCGCCCCGCTTCATGACTGCATTAAGAGCTCCCCGCGCCCTGTGAACGCGCAGACCCACCACGCCGAGACTCCCCGCAGCCCCAGAGGGGGCTTGTTCCTCTCGGGCGTCTGAGTGGACGGCGTGTCCAGGTCACCGCGCAGGGCAATTAGCCGCTCTCTGTGGGTGGGAAAAGCCACCTCGTGACAAGATTTGGTGACGGATCTTGTCGGTGCAGCCACTCACCCGCTGGCTGTGAGGCCAGCTGAGGAGCCAGGCCCGGAGCGCTGGCAGCCCCGGACGGCCCCACCGGCCTGGCCCTCCCCGCCCGGCCAGGACCTCCCTGCTGGCCAGGGCCCTCCTCGCCTGGCC